TGTTTCTTTTAAAAGCCTCTATCCATCCTTTACCTAGAATATTTTGTTTTCTTTATATTTTCACTTCATTGGAAAGGTATGCTTTCTGTATGTTTCTACCTCTTGGGTAAAGCCAGTCATTGATGTTTTAGAATCACAAGAGGGAGCTGGAAGAGAGACCTGTGAGTGAAGTCCACATGGAGTCCAGGAAGGGAAGAGACTCTCCCAAGATGGTATAGACTTTCAGGTGGGACCTGTGCCTCTGGCCCCTAAGCCAGGGCTCCTGTATTGTTACTAAGATGTTTTGTTCAGTAAATACTCACCTACTGATAGATGTGTTGCCATTGGAAGCACTCTTTAAAAATCAGTTCAAAAAGCACCCAGCGCTGATACTACTCATTAAAGAGTTCCACAAATGCTCACACTTCTGAAGGACCCTGGGATCCTCTGAAGATTCACGTTGCCTTTGAACTGGCAGCCAAACTATTTTCAGCAGATGGCTGGATCAAGGGGTTAGTCTTTTAGGATTTTCCACCTGAACACACTTTCTTCAGTTTTGAATGTTATGTTTTTTTGTTTGTTTGTTTGTTTTTTAACCAAAGAGGCTTCCTGGAAGCAACAGGGCCACATGGACAGATCAGAGGGCACAGGGCCAGGACCCCAGGGTTCTGGCCTGGGCCTGTGGAGGAGTGGTGAGGTGACCTCAGAAGAATGGATCACCATCTCTCTCTCTTAATACTCCCACTAGTTAACAGAGCCCACCTTTGTGTCTGGGGACTGTGGGAATATATCATGTGATACAGGAAAATCCTTGGAAAGAATGAAATGCTCACTCAACAATGTCTTCAGTGTCTATCATAGTCCAGGTTCTTTGTCAGGCATGGAAATACAAGCATGAACATAACATTATCCTTGCTCTGAAGGAATACATGGTCCCATGGGGAAGACAGACTCAGCCATGACTGCATCTTGTGCTGTAAACACTCTGAGGGGGTGAGCAATGGATATTATAGGATCAGAGGGAAGCACCTATCACAGTAAGTCAAGAAGCCTTCCTGCAGGAGATGAGAGTTAGGAGATGACAATTTCAAGAAGCCCACAATCCTCACCACTAGCCACCATTTAGTCAATATTCTCTTTGCTGAGGATGCTGCTGGGCTATTTACAGACATTCATTATGTAAACAATCCAGAAGGTCAAGGTTGTTATACTAATTATACATATGATAAAACAGAAGCCAAGAGAATTTTTTAAAAAAGAAAATTTAAAAAGGTCACGTAGCTGGTAAAGAATACAGCCCAAATTTAAATCTCACTGTGACTCCCAGAGCCCCTGGTCTTCACAGCGTAGCCTCCTTGTTCTGGGCAACTCCATTTGCACGAGGCAGAAACAGAGGGAGGAAGTTCCTGGAAGACAAACTTCAGCTAACAGGAAGGAAAAATTCCCTACCAGCTGTCTAAGAATGAGATAAGCTGACAGTGGGAAGTGGGGAGCTCTGAGTCATAGAAGTGTCATGGAACAGACTGGTGACCGAGCCAAGACATTGCTGTGGACATTCCTACTTGGAGACAGAGGATCGGTAGGTAAGCTAACTGTCTCTAAGGATACTGTTGTTAAGGATTAAGTCCTGTTATCAATGACAATGTTCCTTCCCAAAATTTTAGATGCTCTACAGGGACTGGGAAAGCTCTGTGGGCACAGCATTCAGACCGAGGTCCCACCTGTCTGGTGATGAGCCACTGGGAAGAGGACAATACAGAGGCCTGATGGAGTGGTTAATAAATTGGCCTTCAGAGCCATATGGTTAGGGATACTTTTCATTAAAAAAACAAGAACTGAATCCAGCCACTAAAGCAAAAAGGGAATTTGTTGGAAGGGGTTTAGAATAAAACTGACACCGAAGAGCCAGACTTGGGAAACAATGAAGAGAGTGGGCCTGGAGGACAAAAACTGGCTGTTGGCAGGAATGCTCTCCCTCTGTTCCGTGGTAGCCATACAACCCTTCTAGCCTTGTATCACCTAGTCCAAGTTTAAGTCCAAGCAGGCACAGCTGATCTGGGTTCCCTGCTACCATCCTGGCTGCCAGGTCACGACAAGGGAGCATCGGCCCATATGTCTCTGTGTGGGAGAAAACTCATCATCTTGGAACCATGGAAAGAGAACCCTCCCACACACACTCCATCTAATCACAAGGTCCCTTGACCAGCATTCTCCAAAGAAAATGGACAAATGCCTCCTAATGTTGGGAGGGCACAGAGCACAGAAATGAACTCAGCTCCCAGACTGAGGAAAAGATGGGATGTCATCCTGACCATTGCTGTCTGCTGTCCACCCAAGTGGACAGCATGGTTATTAATCATACAGAATGTAGCATAAAACTATACAACAGTATAACATTTTGAGCTGCTATTATGTGCCAGAATCTGTGCTAAATTAAGTTGGTTACATGTGTTATGTCATTTAATCCTCACAACATTGTCCTGAATTATAAATGGACATGAGCCTGTGAATATATCTTTTTTCTCTCGTTAGGCTATGCACCTTGAGGGGCTGTCCAACTGCTTGTGCAACAACCTGACATCACTTTTTCTCAAGCAAGTTGTTTATAACCTCCCTGTGCTTCAGTTTCCACATCTGCAAAATGGGTATAATAGTAGAACCTGCCCCACAAGATCAACTTAGAGAAAGTATTTTGTACTTGTAAAGTACTTAACCCTTGCCGTAACCTGTTTGGCTCAGTGGATAGAGTATCGGCCTGTGGACTCAAGGGTCCCAGGTTTAATTCCAGTCAAGGGCATGTACTTTGGTTGCAAGCACATACCCAGTGGGAAGTGTGCAGAAGGCAGCTGATTGATGTTTCTCTCTCATCAATGTTTCTAGCTCTCTATCCCTTTCCCTTCCTCCCTGTAAAACATCAATAAAATACATTTTTTTTAAAAAAAGTACTTAACTCTTGGGGCAAAGTAATGTCAGTAGATGCTCCATTGTGTTCCCTTGTTGGTGATGGTGATGTTGTAGTAACCTGTATGCAGGGCTGTCTCTGTTCTCACTGCAATCAATGAGAAGGCAACACCAATGCTTGGTTGGTCTAAACACAGTGATGCAAAGACAAAATAACAAAACTCCCTGTCAGGCTTTTAAGGCCCTTCACCCCCATCTCCCTCCATAGCTTTACCATCACCACTCACTCACTAAGTACTCTATGATTCAGTCAAACCAAACTGTCCGCCATTCCCCCAACATCCTACGGGGCTTCACGTACCTTTCCTTACTTACACTGTTCCTCCTGTCTTCTAACACCTGGAAAAATTCATGGCCCAACTCAAATGGCTTGTCCTCAATGAAGCCTTTCCTCATCAGTCCCCAGAAAACATTGTATATCTACCACAGGGTCCCCACCATGCTGATTTTAATTAATAGGAGGAACTCATTATTATTTACTCACCATTTCTACCCCAACCATCTCGAAGGAGAGGTGGGTCTCCAGTGGAGACCTTTATTTTTCTGGGTAGAGTAATAGGTGGGGATGTAAATGTAGTAGTAAGTTGAGAGGGGATACAATTGTATTGCTTCAGGGAAATAGAGGAGCTGGGAAAATAAGATGGGGGTGTAAAATAGTGGTACAGAGGGGCAGATAAAAAAAAAGGGGGGACAATTTGGGCAGAGAAAGAGATAATGGCCATTATCTATTTGACTATGGTGAAAACTTGCAAAAAGCAGAATTTTATCCCAAAAGTATGGAGAACTATAGATGAATCTTGATCAGGAAAGCAAGATAAATGAGGGTGGGAGACATTCTCGGGACAGGAGAAGGCGGCATTCGAGAGGAGGAGAGTTGTGATTTGACTTGGGAGCAAGCACAGGGTTTCTGGAGCTGTACCTGAGCTTGTGCTGGCCTGGGAAGTGCCTGCAGTGTGTACAAGCCCAGCAGATGGAGGCCTAGGAACAGAGGCCTGGAGGAGGTACCTCTCCCAAATATGAGCAGATCTGGAGGAAGAAAAGAAGGAAGAGAGAGAGAGACGGAGAATCAGAAGTCACAATCACATTTGCCCTAGCGAAGTTCTTTAATGCCCAAGGGAGGGTATGGAGAAGGTGGGCAGGTAGCCTTCTCTGAGCAGATGACATTCAGTCAAATATTTGAAATAAATGAGGATGAGTTAGTCACTCAGCTATTTGGAGGCAAAGAATTTTAGGAAGGACAGCCTGTATAACACCCCTGCATCAAGAGGAACCTGAGGTGTTGGAGGAGCAGAGAGGAGGCAGTATCTGACATAGAGGCAGCAAGAGGGACTGGTAGGGGCTGAGGTCAGAGAGGTCAGCAGGATGGACCACAAGGAGAAAGGACACAATCTGACTTATGTCTTTAGAGGATCATACTGGTTATTGTGTGGAAAATGGGGTGTGGAGTATGGGGAGGGCTATAGTGTTAAAGGTGAAATGTTGTACTGAGGAGGTTCACTAGGAATTGCAAATTGGGAATACAGGGTCAAAACCAGGGAAGCAGGTGTGGAAACAAGGAAACCAGATAAGAAATTATAGCATAATACTCTGGACCATGGTCCAAACTCAAGGTGATATCAGTGGAGATGATGCAAAGGTGTTGAGTTCTGAATATATTTTGAAAGCGGGGACAATGGACTAACTAGCTGGGTATGAGAAAGGAATAGGGGGACGCTGGTGGCTTTGGCCTGAGCATGTTTTCTGCTGCCCCATCTAGGAGACATGCATGAATCTGTGGCCTCAGGGAGTGGGCCCTGAAGTAAGGCCACCACAGAAATATTTTGATCCTCTTTGTGACTCAGTTTCTTCTTATGTAAAGTGATAATTATCCTTGTAGTGACTCCACAGAGTCATTGAAAGCACTGAATGTATTAATACATGTGAAATGCTTAAAAATGTCTCTGGCAAAAGAATAAATGCCAGGTCAGTGACAGGACTGTTTCTACTCCCAACTGTGTTTTGATAAGTGAGCAGCTTGACTTGTTCTGTTTGTACTGACTCTGACTTTGGGGATTGCCTAGGTGCTCTCTGATGGGGTTTGACCTGAACCGTCATTGGCTGGATCCTTCTCCATGGGCCCACCCTACCCTGTATGGGGTAAAACAGCTCATCATCCAGATGTACAACGACCCAGTGAGTAACCGAACCCCTCAGCAGCTGCTGGTCTTATGACTTGACCCAGAAAAGAGCAGTGTTGTATTAGGGAAGTTCACTAGGAATTGAGAATTGGGAATACAGGGTCAAAACCAGGGAGGAACCAGGTCTTGTCTTCTCTGCACTGGACAAACCCAAGTGCTCGTAAACACTGGGCTCAGATGTTGGGGTCTCATGAGATAAAGAAAATATACTGGAGCAGATCCACCTTTGCCAGGGTTCTTTGGTTACAAGCCAAAGGAATACAACTTGAACTAGTTTAATTATCCTTGTAGTGATTATTCACTAAAAAAGTACCAGAGTATCTCATATAATTGAAGGCTGTAGGCTGGCCTCCTCCACCTGTAGGAAGCATGTGCCAAACCTAGTCACACCTAGTGGCTCCCACCACTGTAGAGTGTCCCACTCTCATTTTTCTAGTCCCAGTTTAAAAAAGACGGTGAAGGGTCTAGCTTGGAGGACACGTCCAGCTCTGGGCAAGTCATCCCTGGCCCAAGAGGCAAGGACAGGATGACCTTGCTAGAAGCACTTGGTCGTGTGGTAGTGGTGGTGAACCTATTCCCACCTAAAACAAGGAAACCAGGTAAGAGATTATAGCATAGTATTCTGGACCTTTGTTCCAGAGGTCCTGCTCTTCCAGAGAGAAGAGAGCAATGGGTGTCCATACTGAGTTTGCTCATTGGGGCAAGATTTTATAAGAAATAGAATACATTAAGATTTCATAACTCAGAGAAAGGAGACGGACTCTGATCATTCTGCCTCTGAGGGGATATTGGAAGAGAACAGGACAAACATTCTTTAGGTGGAAGCCAAAGGCAGAAGTAAGGCCTAAAGGAAAATAGAACTTTTTATCTGTGGCCTTAGGGCATGGGCCCTGAAGTAAGGCCACCACAGAAATATTTTGAATTTTTACCCCATTCTTTCCACAATGGGTATGTACACTGTGAACTTCGCCTTACTAAAAGTGCTCAACTTGAAGCTAAGCGACACTGTCAAAAATGGCACATAGAAGAGATTCAATTGTATGGAAGATGCTGTAATGAGATTACAGATGATGACTGTGATTTTATGAGCCCCTGGCTGCCATCAGGTGACAGAGAGTGATTGCTAAGACAGCAAGGGTCCCACAGTTGGAGTATTTCAGTGTAACTCTTTGAAGATGTCCATAAAAACATCCTAAATTAAAAAGCTGCATTATATTGAGCAGCCCTCACAAATACTGGGCTCAGTTGTGGAGGTCTCATGAGATGAAGGAGCCAAAAATGTCTACTTAAAACAAATGCATATATTAGACCAAGGGTTAAGATAAAGTAAATCCTTAGGTGCAGTGTAATTCACTTGGATTGAACATGGCAAATCCTGTTATGCCAGATGCACTGTGGTTTATAGATATGAAACAGTTATTCACAAGGAGGACAAAGAGCCCTGAGGAGTGACAGTTTGGGGGCCACTGAACAAAGAGGTGTTTTAGTAGAATCCCAGAGGGGAGAACCAGGGAGCCAAGGCATGGGGGAAGGATTATGGAAGGGGGTTAGGTTTCAGCCAGGTACTCACCATGTCACACAATACAGATGAGACAAGACTGAGCTGCAGAGCTGTTAGGACATTCTTGGTGCCACAGATAGGTAGACTGTCAGCTGGTTGGTCTTAATAAATGCACTTGAATTTGGAGCTGTACTCTTTCTGAAAGTTGGCTCCTTTAGCCCCAAGTGAGGACCTGGGTCTAATATGGGAGTCAAGCTGGTGTGGAACAGGACCCCAGCTCCCTTGGTCTCTTCCTGTCTCCCCCTGTTCTTGTCCTGTCTTTACCCCATTCTTTCCACCAATACTTACCAACTAATTTCTATACATCAGTCATTGTGGTCCTAATAGTGAATGAAACCCATTGAATCTAGTGGGGAAATAGATAATAAACAAGTAAATACCCATAACTAGAGATTTACAAATTGTGTCGGTTACCCAAAAAAAAAGCACCAACCATGACCTACAAGTAGGAGAGTTATACATTTCAACTTGCCTGGGGCAGTTGTGGATTATGTCTATTGTCCTAGAATATTTGCTAATACTATCCCCTTTCTTCTTAAAAGTCTCCCAGTTTGGATGATAAATGATGGTCTCTACTTAAAAGCTATGTGAAAGCACTTAGTATAGTACCTGTATAGTAAATGTATCAGATCCTCCACAAACATTATTTGGATCTGATTCAAATTAACATTTGACTTAAGAGTCATTGTGTCCAGCCGAAATCCGTTTGGCTCCGTGGATAGACCGTTGGCCTGCAGACTCAAGGGTCACCTGTCCGATTCCAGTCAAGGACATGTACCTTGGTTGCCGGCACATCCCCAGTGGGAGGTGTGCAGGAGGTGGCTGATCGACATTTCCTTCTTTTCAATGTTTCTAACTCTCTATCCCTCTCCCTTCCACTCACTCCTGCTTCACAAACACACATGCCCAACATAGAAATTTGCAGAAAATGCATACATTTACATTCATAAAACAGAAAATACATTCGCATAAAGACATAAACATAGTAGATGAGTATATAGTTATATATAATCACATATATATATGTCCTTGTGTCCAGTTACCAACACTGCAGTGCCCCAGGGTTTGCTCTATTTAAATGCATTTCTCTCCTGACCTTGACTGTCACATAGTCATCATAATCACTCTGCCCAGTGCTATCTGAGCTGCCAGAACAGTTTCTGGCTTTACGCTCACACCCTCACTCTTTCCATGTAAGAAAGAAACACCCATCAGTTGCCTCCTGCACTCCCCCTACTGAGGATTGAACCCAAAACCTGTGCATGTGCCCTGACCTGGAATCGAACCAGTGACATTTGGTGAACCAGATGATGCTCCAACCAACTGAGCCACACTGTTCAGGGTAAATGAAATTTTCACAAGGAATTTGGACTGGGCCTTTACAAATGGGTAATATTCCATTAGATGACTATGGTTTGGAGATGAGGGAGGTTACAGGGCAAGGAAAAGGGCATTCCAGGGAAAGTTGAGCAATGGCATGGAGGTGAGAGACCTGGCTTCTTGACATCAATATACAGGGCATATGACAGGAAGCTTCTGAAGGGTAGCATGGGGTGGGGACAGCTGCGGAGGGAGGGGTGGGGCGCGCTGCCCCGACCTGCGGGGCAACAATGAGGGCACGTGGAAACCACCTAAGAGAATGAAGCAAACAAGGAACGCAAAGAAGGGAGGCAAGACAAAGTTCTGATCAAGTCTCGAAATTTTTATTTAAGAACATCGGTATATAAGCGCTCAGGAGGGGAGGGGAGGGGCAGGAGAAGGAGTTGTCACAAGGTGATTGGCTGGGTACTGGGTACTCATACTTGGCTGGTTGGTTGTTCTAAGGTGGGAGGGTTATAGTCTTCGCACAAACTCGAGCTTTTTTTGGCGTTCCAGGAAGTGGAACTGACCAGGAAATGAGACTTTCTTTATGGCTGGCTCTCTGAAGCTCTTGCTCAACCAGGAAGTGGATTGACCAGGAAGTGAGACCAGACTTTTTCCTTGTGGCTCCCGCAAACGTACAGAAGCTCACGGATGACTTTGAACATTGAGCCAAGGAATGTGGCTTCTTCCATGGCCCAGTGGTCCTTTCTCATTAAAATCAAAGTCCTAAGCCCTCTTTTAATTTGAGTTTTAATTGAATTAAATATTATGACTATAAAAAAAAAAATCAAGGCAATGAAACAAAATGTCACTTGTCAGGAAAATTCCAGCAAACACCCTTTCTCAATCTTGGAATCAATATTAAGTCCATGGAGAGCCATCTAACCCAGTGGAGCAAGGGAGAGATCACGGAGTAGTATTGCCATCCATTCACTCTCCCAATCTACATACTCTAGAGTCATTCTAAAATTTAAATCCAACTGAGTCTCCCTCTCATGCTTAAAACCTTTCACTGTCTCCCCATTGCTTGTGGGGTAGAAGCCAAGGTTCCTGACATGCCAGTTAAGCACACAACCTCTTCACACCCAGGATATAGCACAGAACGTGGCTCCATGGAGGACACTATGCTGAACACCGAATGCACAGATGAATATGAATATAATATACCGTATTTTCCGGCATATAAGACGACTTTTGAAATGAAAAAAAGCCTGCTCAGATTGGCCAGTCAGAGAGGCGGTCTATTAAAAAAAAGAACTGGTGTTGCCTCGGAAGTGGGGGGTAGTCTTATACAGCGAATATAGGCCTAAACCTATGTTTTAACTGTAAAATTAGGGGGGTCGTCTTATACGCCGGAAAATACGGTATGCTTCAGAAAACCACTGAGGCTGTGGTGGGGACAGTGTATCAGAGGAGCTGAGAGGAATTCGGAGAAGAGAGATCTCTAGGTGCCTAATGCAAGAGTCTGGGTGAAGGACAAGGAGATCTGAATCAGGCCGGGCTGTTGCCAAGAGCCCCCAAACTTCCTGGGAGATGAATGGGTCCCCCCTGCCCTCCCTGTGCTCCCTAAATCCCCCCAGGGTTGCTGTTTAGAGAAGTTTCTATGCTCTGGGGTGATGGTCCCCCTTTTCTTAGAGGAGAAAGGCCTGTGTTGCTATAACAACTTGGCTTCAGTCCTTTTAGGCAGATCCGTTTTCTTAAATCATTTAAGGAAAATTAGCTGCCATAACAACACAGAGCAGTATTTAAAATAGAGCAACACAGGGCTGGGCTTATTTTTTATTTATTTATTTTTCCTTGCTCACCTCTTGTAGGCCTCAAGATAAGCCACACTCTTTCTATTAAGTAAATAACTAAACTGAAGCACAATGATATGACAGAGTGGATGGCGATGTGGTCAAACACAAAGAGCCAGCACTCACTCCTGCTACACAAACACACATGCCCAACATAGAAATTTGCAGAAAATGCATGCATTTACATTCATAAAACAGAAAATACATTCGCATAAAGACATAAACATAGTAGATGAGTATATAGTTATATATAATCACACAAACCACACACATACA